TTGAAAGGCTTGTCGGTCCTCCCGGTTTCCTTGTAATTCTCCCTCCACGCTGCATCTTTTTAAAGAAAAGAAAGTGAAAAAAAACACCTGTGTCCTCCACTGAATGATCCCACCACTGCCACCAATTGTCAGGGAGCAAGCAGTAAGGCAACAGGACACAGGAGTGGTTTAAATAAACTAGGGCTTTTATTTACCCCAAAAGTCCACAAGAACATCATACAATAACTAGGCCTATAAAAGAGGTCAACAGAAAATACCTCAAAGGCACATAACAGGTGTTAACTCAACAAAACTGACCTGCTACAATGAAAAACCAAGGAACCTATATAGGGGCTTGGCCAAACCAAGTTGAACCCAAGAGATAATTAATAGTCACATTATACACAAAGGACACTGACAAAACCCAAATCCCCCCTTTGACATGGAAGCAGGTGGTTTGTCCCAATCTGTCCCAATTGGCTCCTTGCAGTATTTATGATCCCTCAGCGCTCGGCCACGCCCTTTGCTGAACCAGGAAGTAACCTCCCCCAATGGACATGGTAACTCAAGAGACAAAGCATGTAATTAATACAAACAAATACTTGTGTATTAGCTGTGCTAAAATGTTTGAAGTAATGTCAGATTACAATCAAATAAAGAGTTTACCATCTAGAGTAAATGTGTGGTGTTAATTGGCATGTTTTATTGTAGCTGCACTGAAGCAAAACTACTGAAGATGAGGATGCAGTGTAGTTGGTTTACCCTGTGTGGCTGTGGCCATCACAGAAACAATCAAATAATGTTCAATGTCAACGTTTTATTTTCATTGGTAGTTTTTCTTACCTTTTACAAGTTTCAACTCAGTGGGACTAATGGCATTTCATGTTTCCCTCAATCCTTTTCAAATCTGGCTTGTATCATGGCGACACTTCAGTTGCCCTCAACTCATTCAACAGTATGTAAGTTCTTAAAAATGTAAATCCTAACTCTGGATATTTATTTTACATTTTCAGTTTGTAACATGTTAGCTCTTTTAGCTTTACACTTAACTGTCCCTGCTGTGATGACAAAGTGATTCAAGTCATGGAAGTCACTAACTTTGCCTCATTACAAGTTATCTGGCCCTGTGCAGTTTAAGGTGTGCCACCTAAATTAGAGATTGGCTCTAACAAATGTTGAGACAATGATAAGCACATATGATGTAAAATGATTCAAATAAAAAAAAGAGATGTGAGTATGAGCCACACATGTAGACAGTGAGGTGCAATTTGTGAATCACTAGTGGGCCACTCCTGATTCATAATCCTTTAGTGTAATTTTTTCGGGTTATAGTGAGTCTGTGAAAGATTGAGGCTTGAATCAAACATCCTGTGCTGACGTACTGAGCTCACACTATCCAGATTCATTTATCGTACCTCTGTGCTCCTCAGCCTGTGGAAAAGCAAACCTACCAACCAATGTGCAGTGCAAATCTTTAAAACCAAAATAAAAACACCATTGTTGTGTGCTCTTTTGTTGCAATTGATAATTGTAGGTATCAAGTGAAAACATTAATCTTGTCTTCATGTTTGTTAGCAGCAGGTTAGATTATGTTGATAGTGTCTGCCTGCAGCTTCAGAGACGTGATTCAACCACAGTAGCTATTAGTTACGCATCTGGTAGTCAATTTATGGATTGATCCAAGTCTACAATAATAGCTTCGTTTTACAGCATATTTACTGTTATCTGAGGTAACTGTTTCCATGGCGATTGAGAATTTGCAGTCGTAGATAACAGTAATTTATATTACTGATGTTCCCGTCTTATCATCTCCTGCATCGAGCAACAAACATCAGTTGTTAAAGAAAAAAAACAAATTGAAACCATGTATTTTGGTACATGTACATTACATTTTCTAGCCTGACACTATATCTGCAATTGCTTGCAAGACTGTAATAATCCCTGTCTCAACAGTGGATAATGGTTATTTGAGCTTCAACTGATATGACCCCTTATCAGATGCTTATATCTGAGACCTTATGTTACAAAAACACAAATATCGGGGCAAAACATTTGACATTTATCCATGACATCACCATACCCATACCCATAGAACTACCATAATGTTAAACACAGTAGATGAGGTATTATGTCAATAAGAAAATAAGAAGTAAAAATTCTGCTTTCAAAATGTTATGTTGAGTTAAGTACAGGGTTCTATATTAAATTTTAGTCTTCAAAAGTAAGTAGTAAAGTTCCCTGTCATATTGAGTACAGAGTAGCAGAACATGGACATATTTAAGAATAGTGCGAGTAACTCACACTTATACTTCCACAAATGTATCACAGCATCACTCATGATGGACAGTTTAAAAATTGAAAACCAAAGATATCTTCTTTGGCGCCTACATTACCCACAATGCAACTGAACTACTATAATGCTACATGCTAGTACTTATGTTGCCTCCAACTGCATTAGCAGTCTCATCTCAAGGAGAGAGATGAAAGGCAGGCTACACAGGTCTCACTTCTTTATAACTCCACCGCACCACCTGATGTAAATCATACATTTTATTCAAATGACATCACTAATTAAAATTAAACATGGCGATTTCCTTAACCCTAACCCTGGGTGACTGCTAAGTGCTAAAGCCTGAACCTTCTACTCACTGGGCGACCATCCTTTACACAACTTGAGGAGCAGTGAAGTTTGAGTAAGAGAACTAAGGTGGCCTTCAGTAAAGGCTGTAGAGACAGAGCTTGGTTTGTCCACTCTGAATTACCGTAGAAACATCACGGTGCAAAATGGTGGACTGATGATACACTAATGAAAACATAGTAATTAGTATTGTATTAATTGTATGCAAATAGATCCCTCTTAAATACAAGAGACTGTCATCCTTAAACATCATGAGTTAATAACTAACCACATGAAGTATAACATATTTCTACAAAATCAGACATTGAGACAACCTTGCTTTTAGTGAAGTACATGGGGTGAATACTATGTCTCTATAATGTGTAGATGCTGAGTTACTGTTCAGAAGATTGTATTAAAAAAACAAGCACCCACCCACACATCAACATGACAACAGGACTTCTTGCACAGCAGGGAAAATGGTGGCAGTACAAAAGACCACTTACTGAGGATGAACCTTTGAACACTTAAAAAAGTTGAAATCTCTCCCCCTTTTCTTTATTCTTTTCTATTTATATGAACACTTTTACGCATCAGTATGAGATGAAATCGTGAGTAACATTTTCTTACCATAAATGGTAAACAGTGTGATTCAGTAAATATATTAAGGAAATAAAATGGGAGCAAAGCAGCCAACAGATAACATTTCATGACACGTTCACTTATGTCAAAAGGGAGGGTTAACAAACTCACGATATGGCATTATTTAATAATAAAAATAAACTGCATATCATTTTAGACACAGTTAAATGTTACTTGCGCCATTTAGTTTCCAAGGTAACGAAAAGGGTATATTTAGAGTGCACTAAACTGAGAAAGAAAAAAAAGTGTTAATAATCTTGATGGAGCAATTACAATTAGTCAAAGTCAAATAGTAAAGATCAAAACACCTCATCTGCTTACGAATGAAGGTGAGAGAATGCTCAGAAACAACCAACCAGCTCATTCAGCACCACTTCTGACACTTGCGTCATTCAGTATTTAGTGGCATTACTGATTCATACGATACAGTAGAGGTTTCACTTGAGCGAATCATCAAGGGAGGTTCAGGGAAAATACAGACGTCAATGAGAAAAGGTGTTTCTTTTTTTATATGTTGAGATATATAGCTGCAATAAACGCCTTATACTCTGTCAGCAATTCAAGAAAAGTTTATTTATTTAAATGGAAAACAGAAAGCTTTAATTCGTACAGGATCCTAACAGTGAGGATCAAACCATAGTGTTGCAATGAAGCGGGGTAAAATGTCCAACATTTTACAATACAAAAAGCAAACAAAAAGATTAAATACTTTCACTCTGGTAAAAAAAAACATCAATTTTTAACCAGCTTTCACACAATGTGTGGTTTTCAGTCGAGTTTCGAGCTAAAGGAAGGTGAGAGAAAGATGGACCAGCGCAATTGGAGTTTGGAAGTGGCAACCTAAAGTTTTTTCTTCTCGAAGCAAAACTTTAAGTACATACTTTATATTATATTAAACTGTAGACATTATCATCCCTTCTAATTAATAATCTATCTTCATTTATTTTATTATTGGAAGTTCACTTCTTGACCTTAATTAATCTTAGATCAAAGGTAAATTTATTAGCTTTCAAAGCTCTCAATCACATGTTACAGTCTTCATAGAGTGAATGGATTGGTGTCGTTGTGTGAGCTAAATGTCGAACAATGCTATATTACATGACCAAAGTTTCCAGATGACACCTTAACCAGCTCCAAGCACTTATTGAAGACAGTGAGATGAAAATGAAACCACCTGCCCCAATTTGGAAAGTCCAGTTTTCTAAGCACACAAGTTGTTGTCACTGCTCACCTCTGTAGACACATGGTCCCACCAATTATTTCTTTCACCTGCCAATACAAACAAAAATCTGGGCTCAAACCCCGAGTCATATTGTTTGTCAGAATCATTCTCTCTCTTATCCAGAGTTCATCCATCACTATGCAGAGCCTTAACCAACCATTGTTGTTGATGGCATACAACCCTCAATGGCTTTCCACCACTTTAATTGTGATAGTTGAAACAGAAAAAATCCAAAATTTGCAGTCAAGACAAAAAGAAGGCAGCAGACAAATATAGTTGCATTTGCACCCTTTGCTTAACCTCCTTACGTGTTAATTGTTAAAACAAAATCTCTATCTGTATAAAAGTTAAACAATTTAATGAAAAGAGAAAGAATTTAAATTCCCTCATATTTAAAAAAAAATGTTAACGTCTGAGTGCTGCCCTAAGTTTGGCAGAGCGTCCTCGAGGATTCTCATTTACATCGTCCCTTTCTGGGGTAATGACTTTTCTCCGCAGAGGAAGCCAGTAAACCTCTCCACTTTCTCTGTTTGCATCTACCTGTTTTTGCTTCCCACTGCTTTTCTTCCTCGGGCTGAAGTGATCTAGATTGGACAAGTCCTCTCCCTGGAGGTAACGTTTAACCAGTCTGTCTTCTAGTGAGTGAAAAGTGATCACGCAGAGACGTCCTCCAGGTGCCAGTACCGACCGGGCGGCACTCAGTCCTGCGTGAAGTTCGTTCAGCTCATCATTCACAAAGATACGCAGAGCCTGGAAAGTCTTAGTGGCTACGTGTGCAGACCGTTGGAGTCTGTCTTTACGGGCGTAAAGGACAGCTGGAGGAAACGACCCTAGAGACAAAGAGATGGTAAAAGTGAGTGGATCTTGTAAACAGAAGAAATGTTGTTAAGAAGCTTTTACAAGTGTAACAGTTGTAAATATGCAGTGGTGTTTAGTGTTAAATATTTCTTTATCATTTAGTATAATCACACAAATTCTGTGTTTTGTATTTAATAATTCTGTGTTCTTTATTTATTAAACGTTCAATACCTGACTAGGTATAGAATCAGTGGGCGGAACCTCCAGAATTTAGTCAATGTACTCAGGAGATTTTCTTTTTGTGGGGACTACTCCCTTCATATTGTGTCCCTCACGTTTCCTCTTCCCTTTTTGTAAATGTTCCATGTGAGAGGAGTGAGTGTGAGGGATAACAAATGTAATACTAATTTGTTGTATATTGTCAGTGAATAAACGGAGATCGCCTCGACTGTATGCTGGCTCGGGTCTCATCCATCAACAACATCAACACAACGCAGACACCGCTTATCTATGAGAGGCCGTCTAGCTCACAGCTCACACTTGGTCTTACAAACAATATCAGAATCTCACACATACACCATTAAACTCTTTTATACATATTGCTAAACACTTTTACACGCACAATCATACTCTCTTTCACACACTTTTGTCTGGGCCATAAATCAAACTGACTTACATACCAAACTGTATTTTCTTAGAAACACTATTATTCCCACTTACATACCACATCATACTACAATATTATACTCTAGTAGTGTATGCAAGATGGAAAACTTTGTGTGTGAGAGAGAATGATAGTGTATGTGAAAGACAATGCAGGGTTGCGGTCGAATAGTTTGTTTCTCTTAGGAACCTTCCTAACGGAGTGAAATGACCCGGAAGTACCTCACTGGCAGCCATGATAAGTGCCGTTCGAATTCTCTAGATCAGTGTTTCTCAAACTTTTTCATACCAAGGACCACTTAACCAATAAAAAAACACTCGCGGACCACCTAACTCCACAAATATCCAAAATCACATCGTTTTTCTAGAACAGATTACAAATCGCCTGAAAATGGTACAAACAAGTGGCAACATGTGTGATGAAGGTGTTGTGCTGGGCTATATCAAACAATCGAAAGTACAACTTAAGCTCGCTCCATTGCGGAGATATTCCCGCGAGAGTGCGTAAAACTTTAATTTATTAATTTATTTATAATGTGAAATTGTACCAATATACTCACGGACCACTAGGGGGCGCTCACGGACCACCAGTGGTCCGCGGACCACACTTTGAGAAGCACTGTCTAGATGATAAGAAAGGCGGTTTCAAACTAAGAGAAAATGCTGTCCCACAGCCACAGCATTTGCCGTCACACAACATTCGGCCTTCATGGAAACAACCGATTATGACCGAGAAATAATATCATGAAAGTTACGGTGCTTATTAAGCATTTTAAAACGTATGTGGTAAGTTGCCAAAGTGCTTTGTTTTGAACGTTCATCAGTATTATAATCAAAAAGAGAAATATGAATGTTAGTTTTTACTGAAATTATCAGTAAATGTAAGGGAGAGGGTGACGACGAGCATAAGTTGCACTTTCCTTTTTTATTTCAATTCCAACTTTGGTCATGAAGAATATGTTTCTCTGTTGTCCACGTTCATAAAGCATAAAACAACAGCATCAAAGCACGGTGCAGAGGCTCTAGATGAGTTTACAGTAGTCCCTCGTTCTCATCAGAGATTCTTCCTCCCTCACATCACTCAAAACCCACCTGTTCAACACTGCATTCAACCACTGACCACCCCCCTCCCCCCCTATTTTCTGTTTTGTTTATCTCTTTTTGTATTTCTTTGTTATCTATTTTTTTTGTTTTCTCTTGTCTTTCTTTTTTTCTTTTCTTAATTCTCTGTCAAAGCGTCTTTGAGTTTCATGAAAAGCGCTATAAAAGTCCCATGTATTATTATTAAACATCCATGTTGTCCGCTGTATAGAAAACTGTAGTTTCCATAGTTTCCCCACAGCAGCAGACGCACATTCATGACGTCCGCTGGCGCATCATAAACACGTCGGATAGTGAAAGTGCAGTTGGATTCTCTAAAGTACCGCAGTCTCTTCTCCTAAGTCCTTTTGAATTCTCCTATCCACTATCCCTTAACCCCGTGACGTTTCACTCAGAGGTCAAGGAATAGACGATAGGGTTAGACGTTAGGAGCTGATTGTTGGACTATTCGACTGCAACCCTTGTGTTTTTGAGAGCTTATGACAGGAGGACATTGTACTGGTTGTGAGAGAGCATACTTTAAAAGGAAGTCAGGTTGATCCAACAGGAAGCCAGTTTAAATATTCATTCCTTGACTGGTTTACAGCCTTGAAAACAAAGCCTGAAGCTGCTCAGAGCACGGCTACATTTGAGCTGCAATAATAACTTTTGGTAACACTTTATATTAAGGTACACAAATTCACCATCAACTAGTTGATAATTAGCATGCATATTAGCAGTATATTAGCTATTTATTAGTCATTATAAAAACACGTATTAATGCCTTATTCTACATGACCAGATTATACAAGTAATAGGCCATTAGTTGAGAGTTTTTCCTCAATAACCCTCTAATTAGTGCTTATTTATTGCAAGTAAGGAAGTTGTTGTACATGAGTTTTGGTCTTAATATGCTCTGCTCAATATGGGCCTAATAAGACAGTAGTACCTAATTTTGAGTTATTTAGACTTAATTAACACTTAATAGTTTCATGTCTTGTTACATAAGAATAGATCATATTTAATCCAAAAAATATCTATTTGTGATCATACTGTGTGACCTGCTTGTATGTACTTACACTAGGTGTACTGTTCTCTCTATGTGTTGTACTGTCTCAGTGTGAACATAGATTAAACAGCCAAACTCTTTTGAGAGCCAGGGAATGAGCAGCCATGCTCCTTTATTGACTTATTCGCAGTCTACTGACATTCAAACGGAGTGAAACTATACAAAAAGAAGTTACAAGGCACTTAATGATCTCATACATGCAAGTGTAACATACACAGATTAACACTTAGGACCGCTAAGTGTAAACAAGGTAAATATAGCTAATGCTAGCTGTGCAATAAGCATGTATACAGGCTAGTATGGCTAACGCTAGCGTGTATGCTAGCGCGAATGTTAACGCATTTTAACGCAGTTTAAACATCTCCAAATGTCATCACAAACACAATACATGTTACTAATCCTTACAGTCAGTGTAAGTGTTAGGCTTACACTTACAGTCATTACTTTCTGACGGACTTGACCCTTTTACTCTTCAGGTTACACAGGGAAAATTAGTAGTAGTCTACTGCCATTGTGGACGGTGTCCGTCAAACAAAAAACGTAGAGCCAATCAGGAACTGAGAATTTAGACCAACTTCCTTTTCAATCAAACTCACTTCCTTTTCAATCATACTCTCTCACACACATAACTATTCGTATGCACACACCCTATCATTCTGTTTTATACACATACCTATAGTCATTCACATGAACTATTATTACCTCTTATATAAGCTATTATTCGGCCTTTCATTCACTGCTATTCTGTTTTACATATATGACTATTGTTATTAACATGAAATACTATTCCCTCTTACAAAGGTTATTATTCTGTCTTACATACATTGCTTACCGATTACACACATACTACTATCCTCTTTCACATACACTATTATATAATGTTCTATTAGATTATAGTTGTTTGTGAAAGACGATAGTGGTGTGTGTACGAGAGTATGATGGTGCGTTTAAGAGATTTTGTTTTTGTGTTTGAGAGAGAATAGTTATTTATGTATGATAGTATGATAGTAAATGAAGGAATGAATGACAGTACGTTAAAGATGGTATGATGCTGTGTGTGAAAGAGTCTGGTGAGATTCTGATATTGTTTGTAAGACGAAGTATGAGTTGTGAGCTTGACGGCCTCTCATACTTATCGACACCGGTTACACAAGCAACTACAAATACAGTATGCAGTTCAAATGCAGTGACACCCATGTGAGTTTGGTAAAAGACAGATTTTGGAGGGGCAGGAGAGATCATCTGAAGGAGGAGTGAAAAAGCCCATCTGTGTCAAACTTTAACAACCCTCTATGAACACAGTGGGGGACTGCCACACCACTTAACAGCTACCACACTACCAATCCACACCTGAAGTCCTGTGACTCTGAAGGCTCATGTGAACTAATGATTCATATAGGACCTCAACAACCCACAGGTGTTATCAGTATGCGATTAACATTAAAAAAGTTTGGATGTCTTAGATGTCCACAGTCTTAAGAATACAAGAAGCCTCTTAAATGAATGCAACTGAGTACTGGACTGTATTTAGTGGCAGAGGTCCTTCACCTAATCATCTCTAATGATACTATACAGTAAGTATAAACTTATTGTAGCTGAACACAAGAGAGAGGAACACCTCGCCACTTAATAAAATGTATTAGTTATATTTTATGATGTATGTACAGTAACTTATACCTTTGTATGAACTCACTTAAGTATTATGAATTCCTTATATTATTAAAGCAAGTAATTTAATCAAGTTACAAAAAAGTGATGAGTAGATTTATCAAGATGTACCACAGAAACATGGATAATTGCTGCTGTGAGCAGTGAAGAGAGAGCTCCAGCAGGATTGATCAGCAGGTCCATCAGAGGATCTGTGAGTATTAGATGGAGGGTGGAGATGGTGTTGATATGGCTGATGTACCACTAAATACCGAGGTAAATGCAGCCAAATGCCTCTAATGGTCCATCAGTCAACTCAACGCCAAGTTTAGGATATATGTTACGGAGCACAAAATGACTAAATCACCACGTCATGATTTCTGTTTAAACATGCCAAAATATTGAGGTTTTTTTCCAGTTATTACCGTCTAGCTGATGCACCAAGTCTTTATTTTTGGAAAATAAAGGTTGAAACGTTTTTCTGTTGAACAACCCGTACCTGCCTTTTTGAAAGGCAGATAACTTTTCATGCAGAACTTTTCATATCCCCTCATTTTTTGAGCACACCTAAAATGGAAAGGCATTGCTAACTGCAGACACGTAGAAAGAAACTGCACTTACAGGCTTGTGCACTTGTTTGCTAAAAAAACATGCAGGGTATAGAATGCATCAGAATTCAAACACAAAAAGGTCCAAAAATGTAGACAATATGTTGGGTTCAAAACGCTAACTGAAAATCTATTAAATAACATTTAAAAAAACATTAACTCTATGTCAATACAACTGAACAGTTTATTTCCACTTTGAGCAGCTCATAATAAAGAGAAATTAGACAATTAGACCTAAAGAAAACCGCAATAAATAGAGACGTGAGTGATGTGGCATTTATCTCCTCCTGCACTAAACAGCCTAAGGTGTGACTCACACTGCAATCGATACGATGCCTGCACAGCAAGGCCCCGCCCTGGCCTCACCAAGCCATGCGCTCTCTCTAATTCATCTTTCAAAGGTCCTACAGACAGATCCATGGAGAAACAAAGAGATTAAGATATGTACATAAAGGGGAGTTAAGAAGGAATCACAACACTGTGAATTTATTACAAGGCACAGTATTTAGAATACAGCTCATGCTGACCCTTTTGTTTTATGTCTCATCTTAATTAGCTATATTTGATGTTTAGGGCAAGCAACAACAAAAGAAGCAGCACAACTACATTCCACAGTAAGATATTTGGACAACAACAGTGTTTGGTGCTTTGGTGTTCCTGGCCCAAACAAAAAGCAGGAGTTTGATCAGAGCAGGTTGAACAGGAAAACATTGACACAACTGGGGTGGAACAACATATAACATGATGTTATTGATCAAGTTGAAATGTTTCAATTTGTGAGGCAAACATCAACTGAAACACTGTGGAGAAAGAAGTAGCATCACTAACAAACGGGAATGTATCAAAACTAAGTGCTTTGTCACACTATACAGTTGCACACTGTCATTTATTTACATGTGGTGCTGATGCTTCATGATGCAGTAACGGCTTGCAGGGGTAGCTGCTGCAGCTGGGGTTAATCTGGGGAGATGCCATTTGACAGGGAGCAGCCTATGCTAGCGTTAGCCAGCCAGCCCTCTGCAATTCCAAAGCTAATTTGATAGCCTCCTCCATTTTGGACTTTACATCTTTTTCCATTCAACAATGCAAGTTTTGGTTTAGAAAAAGATGGAAGATAGAAACTATAGAAGAAGAAGGAGATGAACCTTTATTAATCCCTGAGGAAATTATTTTGTTCTGTTTGTAAAGAAGTTCAACAAGCCAAATATGCCATTGTCACACAAAGTCACATAAATCAGAATATCAAACTACAGATCACCTAATATAAGCTTATTGCAGAGATATTGGTATATAATGCAACTCAACCCATGTAACAACATTCATCACACATCCACACAAATGGGATGGTTTGTGGATATTTGTGGAACTCTGCAACTGGTTGAGTCAATGCATTTTATAGTGGCAGTGAAAGCTGACGTGCTAATGTTGAATTAATTTAAGTAGACCACCAAACGTGTTTTACTGTTGTTGCTCTGGGTTGAAATTAACGTTAAATAGCTTGTGTGTGTGTGTCTCTAAATAATTGCATCCATCTCCTCTCCTCTGGCCACACACACACACAGTTTAGTACAGGGTGATTAGGCCATTTATTGGGTTGTTTTGTTGAATGCATTTGACTGTAATGTAGCTAAATGAAGCTCACTTGACTCTTGCTGTCAGCGTTCAGCAAAGTAAACACACTTTTATTGTAGTTGCATGTGGGGTAGAATTCTGCTTTGCTTTCTGTTTCAGGGTTTAAAGCACTTTGCACAACAACACCACTACGCACTGCTGTGGCTATTTGTAGAACCTTTCTAATCACATCTGTAAAGCATCCGGCAGTGATATCTCACTCATAGTTAAGTGTCAGGAAAGATTGAAGATGATTTACTGAAACAGTCTTTACTAAGTGACTCACAGCTAAGGATAACATCAAAACACCATTGTAGATAAAATAATTCACTTTATAAATATGATACACACTCATCCACCACCCTAACCTTCACACCCCTTCCTCTATCCGTACAACACAAACGTTGCACTGCAATAAACATTGGCACTAAACGAAACGTCACATACGGCAGGATTGTCCAATAACAATGAACTTTGGGGGCACTGGGTTGGTGTTTACAACAGCTGACAACAAATATACATAAATCCCAACTGGAGACAGAACTGAAAAAAAGATTGTGGATTTTCTTGGATTGTGTGAGGATTTTTAAGATCTCTAGAAAGAGATGATGTAGTTGATATTGTATCAACAAATAATTGTACAAAGTGCTGCAAAACACTTACACAATCAGTGAAACAGCCCAACAACATAAACAAATAAGGTTTAATTATTAGGCTCACTCTCTAAATCTCCTAATCTCAAGCATATCTACGTTTACCTTTCTTCACTTACAGATTGCACCAGAAAACCATGTGTCTTGTTGAAGTTTAATATCAGTTTTAACCAGTTCTTGACAGGGAAATAGGCCTATGTATGGTTTTCCATGCATCTGTAAACAAGTAAATTGCTCTGCAATTACATTCTAATAACGAATCAAATAACAAATCCACCTGTTGGATGCTGATACAAGCTATTTTAAGTTCAAATAAACATTATTTGCTGCAGTATTTGTTATTTTCAATTACAAAATTCAATATGAAATGTTTTCTATATAATGATAGATGACTGGTAACCTTAACTGTAAAAAGTACAGTAGGAGAAATGTGACCAAAAGACCTTTCTTTTCTGATGTCTCAATGCCACCAGGCCCCCAAGTGGCTTCCTCCAATTTATCCTGTGACTTAAATGTCTTTCTGCCAGCATCGCTGTCACAATTGTTCATAGATCCCTCTGGAACTTTCTTAAATCAAAACCTCTTGGATTGTTTCAAATAAACATTGCTAGTGACTCGCTTTAATCTTCAAAAAGATCAAGCAGCTGCTCTTACTCACACCTGTTTTCCCAGGGTGACACTGACGCACATACTGCTCCGTGCAATAAGTACTGAAGCACTCACTCGTTCAGCAGCTTGAATGTGGAGGCATACTGCTATAAAAAACAATCATTGAAGACAAACAATGTTATCCTTTCCTAATGCACGAGTGTGTCATGTGTGTGAGCATACGTGGGGGTTTACCTTTGTGTCAGGTGTGTGTGCATATTTGTGAGTCGAGAAATAGTGGAAAAGAAGGGAACAAAAACAAAGCAAAGAGCAATGGGGAAGAAGAGAGAGATTGGTTTCTGTGTGTGAGATATTGTTTGTTTTCAAGGCATTAGCCACATTCTGTCTCGGCTGTGGCTTTGTCTTCGCTCTGTCAAAAGAAGGTGGAAGGTGGGGAAGAAAGGCACCAAAAACAGAGGCAGAAGAAGAGAAGATGACGACTGAGATCACAGTCCTCATAATTTGGAGACAGCCTTAATAACTTCACTTGTGTTTTATTTTCTCATCGCAGCCTCCAGAATGCTGAGGATAATTAATCAGGATTGTGTCTACCTGCCACCACGCTGGCCAGCTGCTGTGTCCGGGTGATGGGGTTGACTCGGCGTGCCTCAACAATAGCTGAAGCTATTTTCCAGGCTTGTCTTTCTTCCCCATATGCAGTGAGGATGGATGCAAGAGCCTGTTGATCTAAGGTATTCACAACGTCAGCAGCGCAGGGCATGTCGGGGTACCTACGCACAAAGAGAAGCCCAATTAAGCTGCTTGACGTCACGTCCTTGCTGACAGCGGCGAATTCTGACAACTCTGAGATACAGCTGAAAACATTTATGGCTGACAGTTATGAATAGAATGATTGTGAGGGGATGAAAAGAGAGATGCAGCCTGTGCAATAGCTTTTAATGAGGTTATTTTAGCTGGTAGATCTGCACATTACGCTGACCTTGTGAAGTGATTCATATATATTTATGAGAAACATTCAATAAACTAAACATTTTAATAAAAATATAATTACACATATATGTCTATCAATATACCTACATACATACATACATACATACATACATACATACATACATACATACATACATACATACATACATACATACATACATACATACATACATACATACATACATACATACATACATACATACATACATACATACATACATACATACATACGTACGTATTATGCACAGACATACATACAGTGTGATAAATCAACCTTCAACATAGAAATTAAATTTAGGATTAGGATTATTGGAATATGCGTATAAAGCCTGGCGAAACTATCTGTTTCAAAATTAAAGTTTATTGAACCATTTAAATGCTACGCACTATGACAAAAACCCAATCATACTTGTTCATAATCATTAAAGATTATATTTTCAGTGTAAATGTAATGATAAAGAAGGAAGGAAAATATTGTGGTCATGGTTAAGGAAAGGTTTGCCCTAATATTTACGAGAAACTTCTGTCAAACGGAAAATGGAAAGCCCATCGTTTAATCAAAATTAATAGTTTTGTCATTTTAATATTCATATGACTTATTTTGCTTTTCACATATTACATATTATTATTTATTTATTGAAAAATGTGCAACGTCCCTTTTTTATAAGCTACTTTACTGACATTGGTGCTCGAATTACTGCTGACGCATTTTCAAGCCACCATTAATTCCGATTTTCCGGCAGAACCCAACATTATTTATTCTATAAATGAAGTCTAGAGTTATTTGTATCCAGTTTTGTTAATGCTGTATTGTTAATGAAATTGAGATCCATCAGCCTGATACAATTGCTGTATTTTGTAAATATATTACCTCTCACAATCCATTCTCATATCCAGGGGCCCATCCTTGCTGAGGGAGAAGCCTCTCTGCGCCTCGTCCATCTGCATGGAGGAGCAGCCAGCATCCAACAGGACAGCATCCACGCTGCCTGGCTCAATGTTCATGTTAGACAACAAGGCTTCAAGCTCGCTAAATTTGCCAAGCAATGGTTTCACACGACCACTGCAGAAAGGATAATGGGGAAAAAAGCATGATTAGACATTTGTATATCAATGCTTATGGCTGCTGTCAAAACACTGGCCTAATTTAAATGCAATGGAAAATAAATGTTACATTTCTTCAGTGATATTTAAACAGCAGAATAAGGGAAAATACGTTTTTATTGCTTGGTTTAACTGGTTGGATAGCTTTTTATTTTTAAATGATTATAGTAAAATAGTTTAAGTAAAGTTTAGGGATTGTGTTGCAAAAAGATAGTTTAGCTGTTTATGATTTCACTGTCAACTCATAACTAGAAAATTCCTTTAAAATTGTTTACAATGTGGAGCAGGGAAATGAGTCTAATACGGTATTGGATTATGTTCCATCATTTAATATAAAAAAGAAAAATATATTAAGCCCCAATTATGATACAAAGACTTGTGTAACAAGATTTAGTCTTGCTGAATTATTCCTTGATGAAGACAGAAGTAATGGAGTTGATAATACAGAGTGGCTCCCTTTCTGTGATAATACAGGGAGAGTGTTTCACAATCTTATACACTTAACTGGGGATTTTACCGACTGGTTTAATATGTAAGTGATGGGAAGAGAGAGATTGCTACTAGATGGGAATGGTAAATGAGTCCCCTCCTCAGTTAATGGCAAATATTGACTGTATTTTCATGTTCAAATTGGTCATACATAAAAACAAACATCCACAGTCAACAACCAGCAAGTCAAGGTCATTTTAAGCATTTCTAGCAGAGACCCTGTGATGTATACAATTTAATGTGAACCCAAAACAGGCTCAGGTATTTCCTTGGAGTTCCCACTAAGAGTCTTTTTTAAATCCTTCCTTGTCACAGACAGCAAGAAGCTATGTACACAGTCACTTCGTCATGCATCCTCAAGCCACATTCATGCATTTTTCATGTGACCTTTAACATTGTGCGAAAAAGATGATGGCAGAAGAGAGCAACAGGAGCTAGCATCTCCACATAAGGAGCCAAAGGTCTTCTGCAGCCTGCTCTACCCATCCCTGCTAGTGAAGGTATTTTTCTTGAAAATAAAGTGACCAAAAATATGTTATTGTCATTTCTAAATGACAAACAACTCATTTTGTATATCACATACCTGACCGCAAATGCTAAACAGCTTAAATTGATGACACCTTCCTCATTCATTTCTCCATATAATGTGTACTCAGTATGAGGTTAACATGGACCGGATTTAAAAGATGAAGGAAATGTAAAGACCTCATTATGGGAGTTCCTGATATCTTTGTCAAGAACTCACCAACAGACTTAAGTGAAGACTTGTACCCTGAGTCATTCCTACTGTCAAAAAAGCTTTTCTTCATGTCTAGGGCACGGGTGCCCACACTTTTTCAGCTTGGGAGCTACTTTTAAAATGACCAAGTCAAAATGATCTACCTACATTAAAAATGCTAAACATATATTTATTTATATATACTGAGTATACCTTATGTTGGTGTACCTTGCATAACTGCATGAACCCGTATGGCACAATACAACTCAGTACATTTTTGGCCATTACGTCAATTTTATACCCTTTCTTTAGTATAATTGTATAAATTGGAAGGCTAACTACTAGGTAATCAGCTCACCAGTGATTTGCAGCTGGCGCGGTTGACCGCGGTGAACTGCGTGTTAGAAAAGATGAGATCTCAGACTGGCTTACCTGTACGTCAATCAAGTGGCAAATGCCATAGTAAGGATGGATGATAGGCTAACTTTTTCTTTTTTTTCAATGTCATGCGATCTACCCACACTACCTTTGCGATCGACCGGACGTATTGGGCACCCTTGGTCTAGGGCTTCATAATGAATGAAGAAACAAGACTAAGTTGTAGTTCTGTTTACATTCTGCAGACTGTATTAACATGTGGACAGGAATAAATGAACGGAAGAGAAGGGTAACATTGAACCCAACATTTGCAGCATGTCCACTTCACTAAAAACAATTATCATACGCTCAAAGCAAAAACCTTGTATCAGGATAACCATCGTTATCGGATGAAACTTTAAGGTAGAGAGCTAAAGCTTATTGTGTGACAAGTGTTTTGACAAAACGTGATAGCTTTAGTCAACATAAGATAGTACTGGTTGGCTATGGTGATGCTCTTACATTTATGCAATGCATATTTAATTAGCTAATTTAATCTGCTGTCCCACCCATCTTTAAAGTATCTAGCAACCTGTGCACATAGATTGAGAACAACACATGAACCTCCATCTGGAGAAGGTTTGATGGACGGACCGAAATCTGTCCACAGACAGATAGACTTGTTTTTGTCATTGCAAAGCATAAAACCAGTACAAGATGCACTTCCTAAATGTGACAGGTGTGAAGAAAATAAAGGCCTAAATTCAATGAAAACCCAAGCAAAAGCGTCAGAAGTAGGGGGGTTGGGAAGTGAAGAAGGAGCACACTTTACCCCGGCCTGGTTCGGCATCACAAAACTTTTCAGATGTGTAGATGAGATGAGAATGAAGGCAGAATTTAAAGATGGGGATTTTCTGAGCAATGGCGCCAAAAGAAGGGGGGTGGAGGTAACTTGGAAGCGACTTTCATTACTAGACAGTGTTTAGTTTTATTCAAGTTCATTTTGCTATACCACAAGAAAGTAATTGTAATTATTGCTTGAAGTACTGTATTGATACCAATAAGCAGCATCAATGAGTATAAGCGGCATCAATATAGGTATGGATAAAATAAAGATACTGTTATTGATTCCCGGACATTTTAATACATTTATGTACACAACAATGACTCTTAAGATTAACTAGGGGTATGCAAGGAAAGAACACAAATTGGAAGGTCCTCTATTTCAAAACCCACTGAAGACAAGATGGCAAGGGAGCATCTCACCCACGCTGCCAGGGCCTTCCATTGCTTTGCTGTTGTTATTCACTTTCCTGCACAGTGATTGATTTGTTAAAAAATCTATAGTAAAGGCTTTGTTGTTCTCTCCCATCACCTGTGCAAACCCTTTCTGTTACTGCCTCCTCAAAAGCACTCTGCCCACCTACTCCAATTTAAATTTTTGTTGGTTATTCAGGGTATAAACTGTCTAATTGGTGAAAGTTGAGAAACTTTTTAAGCTCATGTGTGTTGAAAATCTTAGCAAACCTGAATTGTTGTTGACGTCGATTTACTGAAGGTCAAGCAGTGTTGTGCGGATGAAAATAACAGCTAGTTGCTAACACACAGAAACTGCTGTCATATGATTATCACCAACAGCTCCACTGAGAGACTATGGAAAACACACTTTGCTGCACTACGTGCCTACTAATATATACTTCTGAATGATTACAGGTACTTGTAGGTTTATTACATGATATTTTGAGTAAGAGGAAAAGATTGGTATTGATACACTAAAAGATGGGCACAATGGTAGATGGTCAATTAATGGTCAACATAGCCACTTCTTATAATGTCGATTTCCACACATAGCATTGATAGCTAGCAGCTAACAAGGGGCTCATCTGTATGAAGGGCAACAGGGAAGAGGAGAAAGGGGACGGAGCTTTACTGACTGGTAGGCAGCACTGCTGGTCCAGTCACAAGCTCCCCAATGAGTGTTGCACAAGTCGAGGCTTATTAAACTATTGCGGAATTCCTAATGTTATTGATGTTGTGTGGAATAGAAAGAATGAAAGCTGATCTAGAGAACATGCTCTGTGCAACATTTAAAAAACATTTGTGTGGTGAATAACAAAAGAAGATTGATGTCTGAGAGCAGTGAGTTAGGAAAGAGTGTAGCCTGTGTGGGACCACACAGAAGGCAGCTATGGGAGGAGTCTATGCCAATTGTTACATTCTAATACAAAGGGGAAATCTGTACAATGTACATTTTAAAACACAATACAATTTGATATCTATAATTGATTTCCCATACACAGTTGGAGTCTCGTAACATAATGAAAGCTCTATCATGCTTAAGAAAGGCCTGTTATTATGGTATGTTTTAAACAATTTACTTCTGCTTTTTAATAATGGATATTAAAATACTGTGGTCTGTGTGTCCGCCCACACCCAGGTGATGATGTACATACCTTTCTCTAGACACTGTGACTTTTTCACCAACACGTTTTTGTAAGCCACTGAAGGATTTAAAAATATGCAAAACAGTTGCATAACATTTCTAAATTATTAACTTCTTTATGTGGCTTAGACACAGAGTTGGAGATATAAATGTCTTATGTAAGGTCTTATATTATTAAAGAGGACAAGTTTCAGTGGTGTATGTGCTGAGGTCCAAGTGTGGGCTCATAATTGCTTAAGAGATCTATTTATAGTTGTAGCACCCCACAACATTGACATCATGCAGGTTTTTTGTTATTCTTGCATCTCGCTAGATCAACCTAACACTGAATGTGATCTTCAAAAAACGGGAAGATCACACAGAGACAATCCAAAGCTTTGCAGATTGTATAACAGGATATGTGAAATGGCAGTGACAAAGATTAAGAGCCAGTGCTAATGATACAAGGGTATATTCCCATTTGCGCTGTAGCATATTCTACAAGTGAAGAAACCATGTGCCAGATAAAACTAAAAGTCCATCAGACATTTCCAATTCTCAGCATATTCTTTTTAAATGTTCAATGCTTTGCCTTATAATTGAATATCGGAACAGGTGATTACAGTTAGATGTTATCTATCTGTCAATGTGCTTTTAAGTCAGACACAAAGTGACAGGAATTCATGTCATGTTAGCAGTAGTCAGCTTTCGTTACCATTTTGCCCCAAAGAGATAATACACAGACTGTACATACGTGAACTGTATGTGTGTGTCCAGCTCAGCCTCTGGCAGCCAGATCCCTCAAGTCTTTGCCTTATTCTCTAAATGTTTATTAAGTATATTTATACAACAAAGCCTCGACATAAATGTGTTTTGCACTGCCCCATGTGGAATTAAATCTAAGCGTCTCTTTTCTTTCTACTAACAACTGCAACTCCTCCTAAAATTAAATTAGCTCAGTTTGAATCATGATCAAGATATCTTCATGTTCTTAAAAGTTATGCGATGAAAAGGTGTCATAATCCAGTAGGAATCAATAATCCAAAATATTATGATAGATTTTGTCTACTCAAAACACAGTCACATTTTGTCAAACCAGTTTTAAATTGTATTCAAATAAACTGGACAATTATATTATAAAAGGTTATCTGTCTTTAATGTCAACATGTTATTTTCTAAGGTCATTAATAAACCATAAAGCTGAATAAGACAATACGTACTTTGCACAAAGCAACACATTTGGCTATTCTTTAGTATGTCCTCCTTTCACTAAATAATTCCTTTTTCTTGCCCATTTGGAATAAGAGTACACTCAGTGAGGACATCAGGAACCTTTTCAGCAGACAAGATGCAGTCTATTCACAAATCAAGCCTGAAATATTCCCTTGAGTTGACCTGCTCAGTTCCTTTAAGACAAGACGCTGATTGATTGCTTTCAGCAGGGGAGCAGTGATGAAAATATCTACAGTCCAGACAAGATAAAAGAAAAAGGAGGCTACAAACATCAAGAAAGACACACACAGACTAGCCTTTAAAAATGTGTGTTTGTTTAACATTTACATGTAAATGTATGCTTCCTCACTTGACCGAGTAAATGTAATTAAACGGCTGTTTACTTGGTGGCCTTGCCGGTGTTTCTTTGAAATGTCATCAATAACTGTTAAATGCTTCCCTGCTTTTCCTCCACATTTTCTCATCTTCATGTCCTCATTCAAAAGCTTGTTTCCGAACAGTTAGGAGATGTTGTGTCACAGATGAGGAAAGTTGACAACTTTGAAAATGTACACTTTCCGGGATGTTGTCTGTGATGAATGATTCATGTTATTTATCCTCTTGTTAGAGTCAAGAGAAAGTCTGACTGCGATATACTGAACAATGTAAAGACAATGACTCATGGTTGGATTTTCTTTTTGGTAAACAAAACCATAGACTTAATACAAACAATAATACAATACATACAAAATATGGACATTGTCTCGTCACGTTGCCTATTGGTTTCTGAAGATCGGTAGTGAAGCTTAATGTGGGTGGCTTCCGGCTCCAAACTATTACAAAAATAAAAGGTGGAGCAGAGTTAGCTCCAAGTTAGCTGCTTATGACCTGTTATAGCACCCACCGGTTACCTCACTAAAGATAAATTAGTTCCCACCATGTTAACTTAAGTTGCAAATGTATTTGTTTCACAAACTGTCCCAGAAAAGTCTTTGAATGCATAATCTGTTACTGCAACTGCACTGCCTTGATTGCATTTCATGTATCAACTGTACCTCAAACTAAATCCGCCCAACAACAATCTATCTAGCTCCATCCATGACAAATGGTTACAGAAAATGTGAATGCGATTGCAAGAGCTAAATAAATCACTTTTAAATTGGTTTGAAATCAACAAAGTACAGTTCATTTTAAATAAAATTTGATTTCAGTCTATGTGTGACAACATTGAACAGGTGTAAATCCAATGTTTGCCTGACATTAGAATAATGCTTAGTGCTTTTTCTGATTCGTAACATTTATTGTGGGCATAACTCCTGCGTAGCTTCAAGCGCAGGGAAGTCATAGCAACAACAGGAATGGTGAAGAGGAGAGAATAGGCTGACTGAGACTCAACATGCAGGAGACAAATCCCATTTAAGGCATGGTTGAATATCATTCAGGGATCAGAGATTTAGTTTCATAAGCTAATGCTTTAAAAAAAACATTTGAGGTAAAATGATTCTTTCTGTACTGTTAAACTGGGTTCAGATTCACACCAACATTCAACAGCTTGCAGTGAGGTTATACTTCCCTCAAGAAACAGCAGTACAGGCGAGAGAGAAAATCCTCTAACCCTGTTGTGAGGATGCACTGCGTAGGCTGCGATTGTCTTTTACTCAGGCTTCCAATAATATTGGTTAATTGCTAGATTTCTCTAGCTTCTCTCAACTTGTATCACGAGTGGGCGTGGAAGAGTTTACAGCAGGGGTTTATTGCTGCTGACAGAATACAGTGTTCTCATTCTCTCTTTCTCTTAATTGTCATTCCCTGCTCACAGGCACATTTCTCTGGCAGAGTCCCTTGAGAGAGGTTTCCCCAGAATCTACGTAAAAGGATTCCTTCCCACGCCATAGTCTTAGGAACATCTCATTTTCATCCTCCCGCGCCTTGCTCATGCTCACACACACTCCCTCTCACACTGGCAACGTGTCCTCGTGTCTCCCTGTTCTCTCACTCTCGTGTTTTCTTTTTCTTTTTTTCTCTCTTGACACTTTTTAACTTCTCTGGGCTTCTCTATACTTCCCGCCCCCCCCTCATATCTTATAGATCCTCCGTGGGAGGCAGCATCTCCTTCACACTGCAGGCGTGGGCCCTTACTCTGACAAATGACATGCCGGGCCCACCAGCTTTGCGTGGGGGGGAGAAAAGCTTTAAGTTAAGAAGGAGAAAAGGATTTGATTGGATGGTGAAACTCAGGGGCTGTATCTTGGCGAGCAGTATTTTATCGGGCTCAGGGAAAAAGTGAGAAATACAGACAGAACAGCAACATTTACATCATATAGTATGTTTTAAGAAATAATGACCACAAACCAGACACTGTGATCAAAATGGTCAAGCTGTCAGCTGCGGCAATACACATCTATTGTACATTTGTCTCATTCTACATGCTTTAATAAATCACTTACCAGTATTCCTTGGCTAATTGCTGGGCCAGAGAAATGGCTGTAGGATCTCGGTCTAAGGCCAGGACTGTGACTTCAGGGACCAAATTCAGAATTGCTTTGGTGTGACCACCACCCCCAAATGTCATGTCTAGAACCACCTACAGGCGAGAAAGCAAGAAAACATTCACACCAGGACTCTGTATGAACAATTAATCATCATCACCCTATCGTGACAATGTTGATTCTTTTAGTTTACAGTAGTGAATCTGACTTTGTCAAAAATCTAAAACGGATTTGTATTCATGATTCCTGATAAGCCTGTAAGTTTAAAGCAGACATCCCCAAAAATAGAGGAGTGATGCTCATTATTTAAGTATAAATTATGGCTGGACAATATGGCCAAAATGTTCTACTACAATATAGGTAATCTCATATCTTGATAATGATACAGTATATATCATGATATAGCATGCTTTCTGGTCAAACATATTCTATATGAAATAACCATAATGTAAAGTACTACTTTGTAAATTAAATCTTTGATTCATAAAAAGCTATGAATATTTTTCCATTTCATTAAGAATTTAAGTGCAAAATGAACATAACAGTTTCAAGTAAAATGACACCAAAAATAGACTGTTACTTAATTGCCTTGATCTGAGTTGTAATATAAAGTGTGAAAAGTTGGTGCGAGCTTGTTGAAACAGATAAACGTGACGTCAGCCTTTGTTTGATGATTATTTAAATAGCTATAATTTCTCGCAGGCTCTGGCACATGTCGACAGTTTACTTTGTTTTTTCGACGCAACAATCATTTGTGTCGGCCTACTAAACCATTATTAATATCCACTTAAGAAAACAAATCAGTGGGGAGTCTTTTCTTTCACATCATTCGCGACGACCTTTGGCCTAACTGTTCCTAAATATAAAAAAAACTTTATTTGTTCCTAACTTTTTTAACATGTTGCTCTGGTTGATTACAGAAAAGCAAACATTTAAAAGGACTCAATCACATAAAAAAGTACTGTCTGGTTCTGGCACAACTGTCTGGTTCTGGCACAAGGTCCCTTCACTGTCAGTCTGGTGATTCTATCAACAAGTGCAAACTAAACTCTTGCAACAGATGCCCAGCAATTAATAATGCCTAAAATGTAAATTAACTCTCTCTCTCTTCAACCAGTCCATTGTTTATTTAGCAATAATTCCACACTCTTTGTTTGCACTCTTTCTCCAAGACACAGCTCTTTGACACCATTGCAAAATTAATACATAAAATATTGTTCCTGCAATGCTAATTTGTCCCTGTGTTGAGGCTTTTGCAGCATTTGTTTCTACATGTAGCTATAGTGATGAATAGTATTTATGCTACATCATAAATATGTGTATAGTTTTTACTGAAAACAATTAGAAATGAAAAAATTGCATTTCTTCCAAATCTGGCAATAAAGAATGAACAAATATGGTCAGTGTTTGATTCAAAAAGTTTAAATGTTTCAGAAACCTGTTAGTAATAAAAAACATGAATTTCAAACTTTTTCAATAATAGTTCTACTAGGTTCTACTCTTTCAAACAAAGCAAAAGAAGAAGAACATTTTCTTTTGGTAAACATCTTTTTGAGGATAGCTATTATAATGATTTTGTTACTCCAAAAAATATTGAATTTATCCTAAAAATACCGTTGGATATCGGAGGTAAGTTTAAAGCAACTAAAGCATTTGTTAAACAGATAATAAGAGGTAGAGAGTGGGCTTTAGAAAGGAAATGTCCAATACCTGCCAACCACTTTCCAGAGCAGCTTTGCTGTTAGTCAGGCAGCTGTAAACTCAGCCTTTCCATGGGTCCACACAACAAACATCTCCTGTCCAGACATAATTATGTAATATATTTCCTGAATGCCTATCACTGACTGAACACTCTGAGATTGTTCAAAACAACTCTTTGGATTATGCCTTACTTTTTATTTCTTAAATGCCTGCTATGTAATGTCAGCAAATGGAAGGAACACATGTGAAAATGACAGAAAAGGAAATGCCAGCTATTTCCCACAAAAACATTAAACATGTCGATCGATAGTGACGTTGAAGGTGGGGTGTGTGCGTGCATGTGTGAGGGAAGAAGTGATCAATGGCGGTTCCCTCTCCTTTCCAGCGCACAGCAGCAGATGGGGAGGGGGTGTGGGCTAGTGGGATGAGTCACACGCATAATGAACTTGCCTGTTGTGCTATTCAATACAAAAAGGAAAGGAAAACAGAAACACAAACAGCAAAGTAGGCTGGCGTTTATCGAAACAGTCGACACAAGCAACCAGGAGACAAACTGGTCCTCTACTGGAGTGTGCTGCACTTGTCAAAACAATATTTCTTTAAATCTTGGGAAAGCTTTGGCCAAAATAACAAAAGGTAAAGCCTGCTTGTTCCACTGGTGCAAACGAACGGACAGACAACTGATGCTCAATATTCTTCGAGGCAAATGGTTGAAGATATAAATACTGTACTATGTATTCGTATTTGTATCACTGCTGCTGCTCTAAGCACAGACAATATCCATCTTTATGAGGTTTAATCCAAGTTTCCTCCCTTTTACTTACTCACACACATACACCCACCAAAGAAACCACGCTTTGAAATTAAGGAAAATGGAAAATGGGATGTTTACAAGGTCATTTATAAGGTACATTGGAAATCTAGCTCCCTCACCCTGAGGGAGAACAAGCTTTTCAATGCTGTTGTGAAAACCTTCCCTCTTTCCTAACAACCCTGCTGCTTCTGCCACCTGATGAACAAACAACTTCTTGAAAAGAGTTGGTGATAATGGGTTTGGCATTTGCGATGAGGATTGACACCAAACTTGGGAGTGAGTCATTCGCATTGATATTTCATACAGAGGGGTGTCAGCGAGGCTCTCACCTAGACCAAGCCTGCATAGAGGAAGCAGCAGATTGAAATTGAGCCTGAACACAACATGGGTCATCTGAGTTCCTATGTGCAGCGATGCTACTTAAAGTAAAGTCATTAGTGTAGTCTGTGTTTTGTGCTGTGTTTGGGCTGTGTAATATCTGCCTTTCCCAGCAGAGGGAATAGGAGAGTTAGGAGTGGTCCGAGTGGTGCAGTCCGACAGTGAAGCTGCAAGGTGCTCTAATGCAGGACACTTCAGCAGCCACCCCAAAGCATTCTTAATGAGAGCTTTACCCCCTTAAAGAAAAAATGAAAAAACATTATAGACTCCCATTTGGTATTTTAAATTAAAAACATGGGGAAGATCATCTTCTGTAAAAAAGGTTTGCCTAACATTTGTGAAGTGGGAAAAGTATGATGTTTGATAATGAACATTTGCAAACATAATACAGTTCGTACAACAGTAAATAATATCCTGGCCATGTGGAAAAAGAGGCCCCTTCTCAAGTCTTCTTATGGTTGAATTCATTAGGAAAAGGGGAAGAGGAACCTGAGAGAAGGCTGAGTACTCACCTAAATCCTACTTGTGACTCCCCAGCCCAGGTCAGTTACAGTGGGGGATCTAAAATGTCATTGAGGGGAGTTTTTACAGATCTTGTTACACTAACACACAGACCATTAGGGAGACAGATACACAGGTACAGGATCGCTTTTCTTGTCGCGTCCGTTGCCATGGCAAGAGTGGAGGTAACCGGTTTGCATTTCTTTCTCTGTCACACAAAGTTCATGGTGAGATACAAGTGCGCCCAATTTTGTGCTGCTTGGCCGCACGAGAACATGGTATGGATAGACGAAGTTATGATAACGGGGGGAAATGGTGGTTTAATCCACTGCAGAAAGTGAAGTGTGTCGTTGCCTTTGTGCACTTGACTGTGGACATAAATCTCACATTCAAAACGGCTGCTGTGCTCAAACTATATTAAGATTATAATACATTAATATTACTTTTGAAACCCCTTATGACAGCATCATAATATATGTTACTCTGCATCTTATCTCCACATGTATTTTTCCTTCACCTACTTGTTTAAATGAATGTAATGCGAGTTGTATTAGACCAGCAAGTAGTGGGTGGAGGTGGGTGTGGGGGGGCACAGACAGATGGCCAGTGAGAGCAGACGAACTCCAAAGGCATGAAATCTTCCCGCAATTACGCCGTCAAGAGATTATGTTGGTGGTGACCAGTAATGTCTGAGATGAGGCCTTTTGCCTCCCCTACATAAACGTAAAGTCTACTAAACATACTCCCTGTGTGTCTGAGAGTAAGAAAGATAGATTGAGTGATGAGTGAGTGAACAAGTTATACAGGGGTGCAGAAATGTTCACAAAACTCGTTGCCAGAGGGCTGCTTCCAAATGCCTCTCTGTATGTTAAGATAATCTCTCTTTTGTCAGAGGAACGATGCAGAGTTACGACAAATACTTTCATTCCTCATCTATTCAGTGCTGTTTGCACTCTTTTGGCACACGTTTAAATAAAAGGCACTTGAGGAGGTATTTGAGCTAGTCAAGACAAGACACATCTACACGCAGAAAGAAGAAAGCGTTCTTAATACACTCATCTGAAGTTTGTAGGTCAAACGAAGAGTGAGAATCAGCAAACCCTATCGGAGGCACTTAGAAACTTCTTTAGAGTCCAATAGAACATTTATTAGAGACTTAAAAAGCTTATTTGTTTAAGTGTCCTATGCTGACTTTGTCATTTATAAAAGTATTTATTGGAATGTTGGTATATTTTAAGGTACAAGTGAGCTCAATGTCACCTTAATGTGTCAGAGTTCACGTTAAAAGAAGTAAGTCATGATGTTAGTATACTTTAATACAGCCAACACTGCTCAGGATCATACCAAACCGGAAGAAGGCATGATGCTTCACACAGGGTAACAATGTAAAAACCTATTGACATGTTCACATGCATAGCTGATAAGTTCACACTTAACTACAGTTGCAACTAATTAATCATTTAACGATTCATGCTCCCGAGATAATACCAGACCCAAAGGGATGTCTTCAAATGCTTATTTCGTTCTCCCTATTCAAAAAAAAGTATTCCACTTAGAATGAAATGCCATTGTTTGAAGCAATCAAAGGAACTCCCAGTTGGGACCACCATTATTATTCTATTATCACAGTTTCATAATTATTATTTTTTTAATTGTCAGCATCAATCTCGGTAAACCTCATCATAAAGGCTGACATGATTG